TGGGTTCAGTATTACCATTCACTATCACCACTGGGTGGCGGTATACTCCACCGAATCCACTAAGGCTGTGATTAAAGTTTCAAACGCGTATGGGCTTAAAACAGAACGATTTTCAACATTGCAGGTATTCATGTTTTCACAAAAGGATATGTTTGATTTAACAGAAAGTAATTATATAAATGCAAGGTTGATACAAAGTAAACGGTAAAGTATGCTAAAGTATAACTGTGTGTGTGTGTGTGTGTGTATGTGAGAGAGAGACAGAGAACCAATTTGAGTTTTAGACCTTCAGAATGAGGACATTTTTGGCAAGTGAGGACATTTTGGCAGGTCCTCGCTTCTCTAAAGGGCTGTTTGAGATTTGAGACAGGTTAGTATTTGGTTTAGGTTAGTGAAAGGGTTGGGCTCAGGCATTTAGTTGTGATGGTTGATGTTAAAGTATATTAAGTCTATAAAATGCTGATTTTATTTTCTGTGGATCCTCAATGAATTGACTAGTTGTTCCCGCTCTAGATTTATTATGGACCTGTTTATTAGACTACATTGGTTTTAGTTAGGTGGAGCTAATATACTGACAACGTTGAAGCTGCTTTTCCTCAGTCAAGTAATACAGTTGTGTGAAAAAGTGTTTGCCCCCTTCTTGATTTCTTATTTTTTTGCATGTTTGTCACACTTAAATGTTTCAGATCATCAAACAAATTTAAATATTAGACAAAGATAACACAAGTAAACACAAAATGCAGTTTTTAAATGAAGGTTTTTATTATTAAGGGAAAAAAAAAATCCAAACCTACATGGCCCTGTGTGAAAAAGTGATTGCCCCCTAAACCTAATAACTGGTTGGGCCACCCTTAGCAGCAACAACTGCAATCAAGCGTTTGCGATAACTGGCAATGAGTCTTTTACAGCGCTGTAGAGGAATTTTGGCCCACTCATCTTTGCAGAATTGTTGTAATTCAGCCACATTGGAGGGTTTTCGAGCATGAACCGCCTTTTTAAGGTCATGCCACAGCATCTCAATCAGATTCAGGTCGAGACTTTGACTAGGCCACTCCAAAGTCTTCATTTTGTTTTTCTTAAGCCATTCAGAGGTGGACTTGCTGGTGTGTTTTGGATCATTGTCCTGCTGCAGAACCCAAGTGCGCTTCAGCTTGAGGTCACGAACAGATGGCCAGACATTCTCCTTCAGGATTTTTTGGTAGACAGCAGAATTCATGGTTCCATTTACCACAGCAAGTCTTCCAGGTCCTGAAGCAGCAAAACAGCCCCAGACCATCACACTACCACCACCATATTTTACTGTTGGTATGATGTTCCTTTTCTGAAATGCCGTGCTACTTTTACGCCAGATGTAATGGGACATACACCTTCCAAAAAGTTCAACTTTTGTCTCGTCAGTCCACAGAGTATTTTCCCAAAAGTCTTGAGGATCATCAAGATGTTTTCTGGCAAAACTGAGACGAGCCTTTATGTTCTTTTTGCTCAGCAGTGGTTTTCGTCTTGGAACTCTGCCATGCAGGCCATTTTTACCCAGTCTCTTTCTTATGGTGGAGTCATGAACACTGACTTTAATTGAGGCAAGTGAGGCCTGCAGTTCTTTGGATGTTGTTCTGGGGTCTTTTGTGACCTCTTGGATGAGTCGTCGCTGCGCTCTTGGGGTAATTTTGGTCGGCCGGCCACTCCTGGGAAGGTTCACCACTGTTCCATGTTTTTGCCATTTGTGGATAATGGCTCTCACTGTGGTTCGCTGGAGTCCCAAAGCTTTAGAAATGGCTTTGTAACCTTTCCAGACTGATAGATCTCAATTACTTTGTTTCTCATTTGTTCCTGAATTTCTTTGGATCGCAGCATGATGTCTAGCTTTTGAGGATCTTTTGGTCTACCTCACTTTGTCAGGCAGGTCCTATTTAAGTGATTTCTTGATTGAGAAGAGGTGTGGCAGTAATCAGGCCTGGGTGTGGCTAGAGAAATTGAACTCAGCTTTCCAAAGATGTGATAAACCACAGTTAATTTATGTTTTAACAGGGGGGGGGGCCAATCACTTTTTCACACAGGGCCATGTAGGTTTGGATTTTTTTTTCCCCTTAATAATAAAAACCTTAATTTAAAAACTGCATTTTGTGTTTACTTGTGTTATCTTTGTCTAATATCTAAATTTGTTTGATGATCTGAAACATTTAAGTGTGACAAACATGCAAAAAAATAAGAAATCAGGAAGGGGGCAAACACTTTTTCACACAACTGTATCATGTTTCCTAAAGCTATCTGCGATGCTGTTTCTGGTGAATAATCCATGTTCATGAGATCTCTCCAGGTCCCAAAGACCAACAGGTTAGCCATAATCACTCGATGTGCACAGTCACAGAATGCAGCTCACAGGAATGGTTGAACTCTCACAACTGGGTCTCAGCTTGCCACAGGTGTGTGGCTTGGATTTGGAGCCGTGGATGGTCGGAGGTGGAAAAAGAGGAGGGCAAGTGAAGTCGAAAAAGCGCGTCCATCTCTGGTTTCCCTGCAGCTACATGACCCTGGCTCTTTTGTCCCGCGACGCTGACTGACGGCCTGAATGGGGCCCTTTGAAGCAAGCTCCAGTTTTAATTAAGAGGGTTTGCCTCGCCTGGACCGCTGATCTGTGAAAGCCACGGGGATAAATATTGAATGGGGTTCACCCGCTGGTTACTGCGCCCGAGGGATAAACAGGTGCTTTGGAGGGCAGGTATTTGCCAGGGTCCCCTACCTGCACAGTGTGGTCATGTTGGGAGGAGGGGGTGTTCGGTGTCATGTCTTCCGAAGTATCGGCTATTGAAGCCTACCCTTATTGGAGTGAATTCCAAGCCCTCGAAAGCTGTGGAATGAGGAGCAAATTGGCGTCCAGTGAGAGGCGCCAGTGATACCTAAGTGATCCACTGCCTGCGGCCCCTCAGTGCCCTCGGACTGGCCCCCTGGCGTGTGAGATTTCCATCTCTCAGGTGTTGGCAGGGAGTCGAGCAACAGAAGCCTACCTGTGAATATTCTGAGGTGTTCAGTAACACCACTGACCTCTGTTCCGTCAATTCCAGAAAGCTTTAGCTGTTGCATAACTAAGTTTACCTGTGCTGAGTAAAGGTAGTAGACCTGAAGACACGCAGTACAACTAAAGAAACATAGTACACCTGTCCTATACGGTGTACCTGTAAATGCTATCTTAATGAGAAAAAAGTTTACTCTCATTACATATTTTTTGAAAGACAAAGCTAGCATTCTCATAGCTAGCGGCACCCAAAGAGCTACGCCAATGGCCCTGTTATGTTCTTGTTACTAGCAGAGCTGGCGTCTCTTTTGCCAGTTATCTGCATTCCTTCCGAGTGGGTGTCTGCTCTGGGCTGTGGGGCCAGGCTTGATACCTTGTTGTCCTGGCATCTCAGGAGGCAGGCGCGTAAAAGGATACTCTTGTGTCAGCTGTTTCCTGCTGCAGCTTTTGACAAGGGCCTCTATTCATCAGCAAGCCCTTCTACACCCACCCTCCCCCCACCTGCCAATGAATAAGTAATTATTAGACATCTTGGGGCAGGATATTTGGATGGCTCTATTTAATGTGGCAGCAGCAGGTAAGGTGATCAGGCTCAGGGCCCAGGCTGTGGAGCACAACTGTTCCAGAGGAGAAAGGTAACCTGAACTGGTGTTGGGGCCCTGCAGCACCTCTGTTTGTTTTTCACATGGACTCAGGGCTCATTATCCCTCTTAACTCTGAGAGTGGACTCTCTAAGGGCTCTCTCTGGCCTACACTCCATCGCACATTGTAATATTTGATGGGCAAACATGCTTGGAAAATCTGAGCCGCCCGGTAACTCGAGCCACTCGTCTGTCATCAGAAGTGCTACCTTCTGATCTCTATGATAAGTTGTGATGCCTGACAACACATACCATTCATTCTTACCTGGAATCATTCAGGTCATTTGTTGAGGATTTAGGGATAAACTTGTTTGCCAAGCTTGCAAGTTTTGTTAATTCAATATTAAGAAAATGGTGGTAATCTCTAAAGAAAGAGGCCAGATACTTTTTTATTTTTTCAAATATTGTCTCAAGATAATATCATGCAGTGGTGACAATTGAAAGTGCCACAATATCAGATCTTACTCAAGGCTCATCTGATGGTGAAACTGCCTTGTAGGGGTTCATTTCAGGAGGTCACCAACCATTTTTATTTCAATCAAAAGACAGTGGTGGGTGGGCTGTAGTTACACTTATGGAAAATCAATTGAGTTTATGTATGAGCAAGGATCGCTGTGTAATTTGGCAACTAAAATATTGTAAATTCAATATTGCTATGAAGAGGACCTGATCAGTGATTTACAATACAGCCCACATTGTTCTGATGCATCCAAAGATAATAAAGGGATATTTACCTTGGTACAAACAGCATGGTGAAATCTCAAATGCTTGACATGAAGCTTTTAGCCTCACTTTTGGCTGCTCTTCCTAGAAAATGTGAATAATTATTTTATCCCATCTCATTTAGTCGACATCAAGTCCTCTCTGCTGGCTGGTTCCTGTAGGAGTTCCTCTTTAGAATCATAACTGTATTTTAACTGCTACTGTGTAAAGGGAATACTGCTGTTAAAAATAACCTGATTTTAAAGTGTTTGCAAACCAAATGTTGTTGCACTTTTGTTCATATAGCAGTACTTTTAAAATAGAAGTGCGCAATACATTACTTTTGAATTCATTATTGAATTTTGCCATAACAATGCGATTAATCGCAGAAAAATCATGCGATTAATCGCAGAAAAATCATGCGATTAATCGCGATTTAAAAATTGTAATCGTTGCCCAGCACTAATTATTTAACAAGGAATTTGGGAGTCATGGATTTTATAGAGTCAGCGCTGTAAAGCTCTGTTTTATTTGCATAAAAATGACAGTTGCCAGTGTTTTTATTTAACGGGTCAAGATGTGTGACTCGGCTGCTGTAGTGAGCGGTTGAAATCTAGCGCATAACCTCTGTTTGTTTCTCTTTCCAGTCCCCTGAACCCTGCTCCCAGTGCCAGTGCGCTTCAGCCAGAGACGGTGTGAAGGACAAAGACAGTGATGGCAAAAAGAAGATTCCTAAGATCTTCTTTGGTACTCGCACACATAAACAGATAACTCAGATCACCCACGAGCTGAAGCGCACCGTTTACTCCAGTGTGCCCATGACCATCTTATCCAGTAGAGCTCACACATGTGTCAACCAAGGAGTGGCGCCTCACTTCAACCGCAATGAACGCTGCAAGGACCTGCTGGATGCCAAAGATGTGAGGATGAACACTTGCATACATTCACATTAAACCCATTTTCAACTTTGGCTTTAAAGTAATACTCAAGTTGAAATGTGCCTTTTGAATATCCAATAGTCACTCCCTGTAAGCAGGGCGATGTTTCCTCCCTCATAGAGAACATGAACACCTCATGAAGATGACAACCTTTCCTTTTTTGGACAATTATTAGTAAATCAGTTTGCCTTAAAGCAATATTGTCAGTAGGGGAATTTCAATATCGCCCAACCTTAATCTGTGTATATGTCACCCAATAAGTTATAAGACATGTCGGTACAGACATTTTATATGTTTGAGATCATTTGGAAACATTGTCACCACTACATAGTTTGACCAGTGAGCTTTTCTCCACTGTTAATGTCCCGCTTACTTCATAACTTTGTCACAATCCTTTAAGGAACCAAATTGAAAGGATTCTCATCTAAATTGTTTCTTTGTTGTATGCTAATTTAAAATACATATTACTTCTGATATCAACTGGTATCGACTTTATAAACCCAGACAGGCCATACATTTGACATGTGACTTTTATCCCACTAAAGGCACAACCTGTATGTGTGCTATAGTTCATTACTTAGCCCAGGTCAACCCCCCCCTATTTGTTTACATCCTCTTGTCTCAAAAATAACTGTTCTGGACCTGAATTGGACTCCTTTGACCCCCTTCAAGCTGTGAAATCTAACACCACATGACACACTTTCTCCATGGAATCAAACCTTTATCCACTGGTTACAGAAGCTGATGAAAGACAACATATAACAGACCTAACATTTTATGACAACTTTATAATACTAAATACTTACCTGACCTCAAACCATCATGTACTGTGAAAAGAGTTTTTCGGTCACCCACAAACCCACAGGTCACTATCACTACCAGACAACACTCCAACAATGTAGCCTCAGCAGCAATTATGCTGCTGCAATATCCACAATTGGTCCAACCGGCTCTTTTTGACACACTAAAATGTCGAGAACCATTGAGTGAGCTTTTTTGTTCAGAGGCGTGAGACGCTTGTAACGGGCTCCTACTGCAACAAGGACAATTACGCTGTCAGTGGAGGTGTTTGCCTCCCATGGCAATTCTCTCACTTTATCATATTAAATAGCTGGCCCAGTCATTACCCCTCAGTGGATGTCACTGATGCTCTCTGTCTTCATCACCTCAGGGTGTAGTCTAGTCAGTGTCAGGTGACCATGCTGTGTAGACGCACAGTGATTCATACACAGTTAACACCCATCGTCTTAAGTCAAAACACCTACCAATTGTTTTAACTGCACTGTAACCTGTCCTGACTTTCCCAAATGTGGCTGCATGTCTATTAATCTCCGCAACTCCCCTTTCACTGAGCCGACCGGGTTCAGTTTCAGCAAAGTGTCCAAGCTTAGCACATGACTGTGAGAGGTAGACCATTTCATCCAGAGATCATTATTGTGTCTGGAGGTTACTGAGTGTACACAGTGTCACCTCAAGCTGTGAAATCCTAAAGAACAGGGTGGGACATCTGAAGCAGACACCTCTGTTGACAGTGTAATTGGGGCTTGGTACATGAGATGCTGCTTCTTTACACTTCTACGTTCACTGTATGAGTGTCAGGACATGTAACCCACGACAATACCTGGAAGACCTGATCATTGGAAGCCTCTGAAATACTGTACGTCACCTCTGGTTACATGTGACACTAGAGACAAGAAAATAAATCAAACGGTCCGTTTATCTCCGATATATAAGAAATTCTAATGTAACATATTTTCTGGATTAGTGACAAATACAAAGGAATACATAACATTCTGAAGACTGCTTTTAGCTGATCTTGTTGATATTGTAGGCTTTTAGTGTTTCCCCATTATATACAGCTGCAACAACTGATTTGATTTGTCAATCGACAGAAACTGCAATGTTGATCATCAGTTAATCAGTTTGAGTCATTTCTTATGAAGAAAATGCCAAACTTCACTGGTTCCAGATTCTCACATTTTCTTTTTCTAGTCTTCTCTGATATGTTGGGTTTTGCATAGAGATACACCAACGTCAACTTCCTCTTCCGATTTCCAATGAAATAAGAATAAAAACAGACCTGCTTATCCTGTTTTTTTGCCGATTATTTCTTTCCAAGAACTATAATTGACAGCAAAGCTCCAGACTTACTTTTTTCAACACCGTTCCTGAACCGTCCCCAAAGTCGATTGGGGTGAACATTTTCAATGTTTTTCTTTTTTTACTTGGTTGTTGTCTCCCATAGTGGTTATTTGCACAAAAACACATTCAAATGATTCTATATTTAAAACAATCTGGCATTAATAGTTTTAATTACACATTATCAGCTGCTTTAGGGCGAGGGTTCTTGAGCTGAGCCCAAATTTAGTTCAGGAACTTCTCCCCCACAGTGTGTGGAGATCTGTACAGTGTGGTTCCTGCAATGAAAAGGGACTCGATGTGATAACTGCGTCTTCCATGATCCGTTGACTTTGAATGAAAAATGTGTGTATTACAGGGCAGGTCATGCAGCTACTACCATGGTGTCCAGAAGATGCGGGAACAGCGCACACTACGCTCCTACGGACTCCATGACGCCTGGGACGTTGAGGACCTTGTCTCACTGGGCAAACGGCTCCGGTCATGCTCCTACTATGCTGCCCGTGAACTTATGCAGGACGCCTCCATCATCTTCTGTCCATATAACTACCTGCTGGACCCAATGATCAGAGAGAGTGTGAGTAGAGTATGGAAGAGAGGGTGCAGGAATTCTAGAACAATCTGAAGGGAGCAACAAGATTAGTTCTTAACAAAGAACCAGATCATGTGGAGAGTTCAGGGATTAACCACTCCCTCTTCTTCCTCTCTTGCTTTCCATCTACATTTTTACCAGATGGAGATCAACCTGGCAGGCCAGATCGTGGTGCTAGACGAAGCCCACAACATTGAGGACTGTGCAAGGGAGAGTGCCAGCTACACTTTAGACCACCACAGTCTGCTGCTGTCCAGGGATGAGCTTGACAGCATGGTCAAAAACAACATCAGACCCTCCAAACACGAGCTACTCAGGGACTTCTGCTCTATCCTGATCAAGTTCGTGATTCAGTGAATTATTGCTCATCTGTGGTGCCCGGAATTTGAGTAGATATTAACTAAGAATGTATTTTTGTCCATGGTGTAGCTGGATCCAGGAGAGCCAAAGCCTGATGTCTGAACGGGGATATGAGAGCGCCTGTAAAGTCTGGAATGGAAAGGATGTACTGAGCATCTTTCACAACATGGGCATCACTGCTGAAACCTTCAGCGTTCTGAAGGTACACCAGATATCTAAGCTTTACTTCTACATGTTTGAGGTTTACCGTACCTGTACACTGCCAGTATTCGTCAGTCCACTTCAAATGTTCACTCTAAGCCTTCAGCACTGTACCCTCACTGATTTTGATGGACATCAACTGTGTGGTCAATGTCAGGGCCTCAGTGCAGAAGGGTGTTGGGGCTCACTGTACTGTATGTGTAATGAGACGGCAATCATGTTTACTCGTCACAGTAATGCCTGAAAATGTCCATAAATAGATAAATGAATTGGAGTATTTGTTGTTTGCTACGCGATAATAAGCAAAATAGCACAGTTGGACCAAATCAACATATTTTGAAATTACCATCATGCATCATAAGCAAAGTACATATCGTGACATGTGGGTTTATTCTTACAGGAAGAAAATCCTCTCGCCAGCTCCTTGTTTTTCTTGAATGTTTCATTCAGTGACTTGGTGGGATCATGCATCAAAGTCTATGAGGACAATAGAAAGGGGCAATCATGAACCTTTCCTCCACCATGCTTAGACAATGTATTACATGTTGGGCTTTCAGTGCTTCAGATTTTCAAACTGGAAAATGCTTAGCATTTACAGGTGTCCATGCTTATCACGCCATTCAAGTCATTTCCCCTGTGATGTGCTTGTATTTAAAGTTTGACACCCAAAAAATGACGACCTTGTATGTGCTGCATGTTCTTATTTGGTTTTAGGTGTCCTGTAATAATCAACAGCACTTTTTTTTTTTTTTTCCCCACACGTCTTCCACTGACAGAAAAACCTGGCAGCAGTGTTGGAGAAAGAGGAGCGTGTTGGTTTGATCAATGGTAAAGAGGATATGGTTCAGGTCCCAACCATCTGCTCGGCAACCTCCATTGTCCTCAAAAATCTCTTCATGGTGCTGAGCTTCATGTACTCCTCTGAGGACAACTGCAGGTCAGAGACCAACCAAAGAAAGCCAGATCAAAGTCCTGTGTCATGCCAGTGCCTCAGATGAACTATTGTAAAGGGGTTTAGGGTTGAACGATGGCTCAGGTCTCTGTGTGTCTGTAGGGTTGCTGAAGACTACCGGATAGCTCTGCAGAAGACCTACGCTTGGACGAACCAAGTCCCACCCGACACCCCTGATGCCCAGGGCTTTATTGTTCGGCCACACCACAGGAAACGCCAGAGCGCCCGAGTCAAGACAGAAGTCCTGACTCTCAGCTTCTGGTGCCTCAACCCCGCCGTGGTGAGAGGTTAGAGATGGCACATCATGCCATGTATGCCAAACTGAGCTATTACTGAAGTCTATAGCCATTAATGGATGACTTAATAAGTCTGTAATGAAAGTTACCTGCCAAGTGCTGGTAAAATATGTCACATAATATTATAATGGGTTCTTCAATCTCCACCGTGCCATCCTAAATATGATATGCTTATGGCATAAATTCCAGCTGAAACAGTGCTTGGAGGTTGATTGTGTCTGTGTCTCCCAGGCTTTCTCTGACTTCAGCAGGTCTGTGCACAGCATTGTGCTGACATCAGGAACCCTGTCCCCCATGAGCTCCTTCTCCTCTGAACTTGGAGTGAAGTTCTCCATCCAGCTGGAGGCCAACCATGTCATCAACAAGTCCCAGGTCCAGTCGGGTTATTTGTGGTGCAACGGACCTTTTTATGCGAATAACCATTATAGATGACTATAACAAAGTAAAAGGATAACACTTTTAACTTTTGACATTTTACACTGACTTCAGGACGGTTGAAATCATTTTTCGGGACAGAGCCTTGTATACCTGCTGTAATAACAAAACAACGACAAAACCGGTTTGTATCAGTGGATATGGCTTATTAACGTTTGTTATATTTGCTCTCTTTTTTTCTGCTGATCTAATCTGTGTCTCACAAACGCGATCTGTTGCACCCCTTTGGTTTACCATGTCACTCATCCTCTGGAAACAATGACTTCTTTGACAAAGTATATGCTGTATAAAAGGATATTTACAGTAGCTGCTCGATTCCTGCATGTTTGATTTGATAATATGACTTAAAACCTCCCTCCCTCAGGACTCATTGGAATCCCTAAGCTTCCTTAATGCATCGTGTCAGAGAGATATGATGGTATCCATCAGTCTCAATCAGGTTTTAAGGTGGATCACGCCACTGGAAACTTTGACCCCGTCTCCACATCTATACCGCTTTTGTCCAGCAGATGTCACAGTCTGACCATTAGATTGCAATAATGTTGTAACTTGGATTTACGACTGCTAATTTGGCATTGCACATGAGAATGTTTTTGAAAAAAGCTCATAATGATAGTGTTTGGGCCGACATAATAATGGCCAGATATATTTATTATATGAAGTATGTTGGTGATATGACCTCAACATTTCTAATGCCCTCTCCTCAGGTTTGGGTGGGCACTGTTGGTGACGGACCCCAGGGCAGAAAGCTCTGTGCCACCTTCCAACACACTGAAACGTACATCTTCCAGGACGAGGTGGGGTCGCTGCTGCTCCATGTCTGCCAGGTCGTAGCCAAGGGTGTGCTCTGCTTTCTGCCTTCTTACAAGGTAAGAACCACCAAGACTGTGAGTCTGTAAGTTAGTGGTGGTTGCAGTGTTGATTATGTGTGTTGTTGTGAATGCAAAGCAAAGAGGAGAACCCAACCAAAAGGTATATGATGATCAGATCAACAGAACAAGAGAGCAACTTCATTCATAACGTTCACATTCAATTTTGATGAAGATTAGCGAAGAGTAATTTTAGGTCCTAGTATTATACTATTTGTAGACTTGCATTACAGTGGTGGCTGCTTTTTGTTTCAGACTATTGTGCTTCCAACTAAACATTTTCCCTGAGGTAAAGAAAACAAAAGAAAAGAAAATGTTCTCCTGCATGCAACACACACCTGTATTAACAGGGCAGTGTAGCAGCAATCTAACAGTACCATATATAATATAATACAACCATGTGTTGCAGTGTGATGTTTCACAGTCCTGCAGACTAGATGCATTGCCCTGAGTTATTTTTACGTACGCTGTGGGTGGTGAGATACGAAAGAAAGCCTGCCTAACACTTTGAATTCTGTTTTTAAATCTATTTCTTGTTTGTTCACAAGTGGGTTTCACACTGCCAGGGTTTCAGGTGAAAGAATAAGGCTAAAGTATTTTCATACACACCGCAATTTCCACAACAGGATGAATTAAGTATCTTCTGTTCTATGAGAAAACATCTAAGCAACAGATTAATTTAACAGGTTACAGAAATATAGTCATGGTCTTATCTACATGTGCTCTAGATTTACTCAAAACTACATTGTTGCATTGAAGTGATGGTGGATGGTTTGCAGTTAGAATATTTGTTTCCACATTCTACCACTGGGAGGAGCTAGAGACCATAAATTGGAGTCAGGTCCAGAGTTTTTGTAGTTTGAAGGTATTTTATTAACAGTTTTCAAAGCCTAAGCTGGATTCCAATAGATCCCACTGCTAAGAAGCTGCTCTTGGTCGTGTCGTATGTTACAATAGATTGCAACCAATCAATATAGGTATTGTCAAGGACTTGTTAAAAGCCTCATCCTCATGGAGCTGTATCCTCTTTCAGTTAATGAGGGCGCTTCTTAGAGGGCACTCATAGACACTTTGTCCCCCTTTGTTTGTTATGCGTTTTTGTTCATGAATAATTAATGTGCGCTGTAGCTCAGTTGTCACATTAGCTTACTTAGGGCCAAGTGGATTTCATTTATCATGGTGTGTTAGTCCACATTGCTCATATTACGTGTGACGTTGGTCACTATGCAATTTTGGTCAATAATGTTACTAAATGTGGGAAACTTAATACGTTTGAGTTTAAAGTCACTGTAATTCTTTATACTGTATTTTAATGCGGTGATTCCCAACATTTTTGGCTTTCGACCTGTTGCAGAGATGGTTTGGATTTTTTAAAGTGGTGTTGTATGAGCTTCTTATCCACAGTCAGCGTATTACACCCAATAGTAACAGACAGGAGTTACCGCAACGGCAGCAAAGCACTGTACTTCTGTGGATGGGGGAAGCAGCAGCACGTAGTGTGAGAGTGACCCCATTTTTATGTGAATAGATTTTAGATGTAACATTTTCCGATAATTTCCAGGGGCTGCACAGTGGTGTGGTGGCCAGCACTGTCGCCTCACAGCAAGAGGGGCCCGGTTCCCATTCCGGCTTCCTCCCACAGTCCAAAGACATGCAGCTTAGGTTCATTGATGGCTCTAAAATTGCCCGTAGGTGTGGATGCGAGTGTGAATGGTCGTCTGTTTATATGTATATATGTATATGTATGTATACACACACACATGCTTTTCAATATAGGACTATGGTCAATCATCTTGCAGCCACTCTGATTTAAGACCTTAGTCTTAGGGATGTCCATACATCATGCAGTGTTTCTAATACATTTAAAACTTGAATTTGACTAATCTGATTGCAGTTACAGCAGTGAAAATCCTTGCATGCTTTTTGTGTCTCGGTATTGTATTAGTTTTTTTAGCTCATTATTTTAATTAACACAATTTGAAATGTGTTATGTTTTAGCAGTAAGTAGACATTACATTACATTACAGTCATTTAGCAGACACTTTTATCCAAAACGACTTCAGATTCTATTACATTCATACATTCGTAGGCACAGCTACGGGAGCAATTTGGGGGTTAAGTGTCTTGCTTGACATGCGACTAGCGGAGCTGGGGATCGAACCGCCGATCCTCTGATTGAAGGATGGCCCCGCTCTCCACTTTGCCACAGTCGCCACAGACTGTCATGGAAGCCAGGCAACACTGACATACTGTTTAGAGGACACATCATTCTCCATCTAACACTGGACCTTGACAGTTGTTCGTTTTGCCCTTGGCAAATTTAGCTTTTTCCTTTTGCATAGATCGTGTTCAACTTGTATCTCAACCTGTCACATGCAGTAATCATTGGTTTGATTCCTCTGCAGTCCTTGTTTGCTTGCTATCAGGTTGCATTCTCAACCAGCTGATGACACCGCCATCCAAACTGTGAGGGAAAGCAAAGACTCTGAGTCTTGTTGTTTTCTCATTTTACCTTCCTTTTTGTCAGCCTGTGATGCCAGCCAAGGAGCCACTATGAGCTGTGGGATGTTTTTTTATTATTTTTTTTATTATTGATAGCCATGTAGGAGTCTTCTATCTCCCTCTCTGTGCTGATTCATAAATATTTAATCTGCAGTCAGCTCTTAAAGATGAGGATATGAAGGGCTGGGGTATTAATTGGAGCCCGTGGAGGCCTCGTTGGTGCCGCTGAGTCCTGTCTTCCCTGTGATCTCTGTGTGCGCGGGCAACACGGAGAGGATAGGTCATCTTCAGACATCTCTGTTCAGTGTGTCTAGGTGATGGCTATCGGCCCCTCGTACACAGCTGGCTCAGTGAAAAGGTCTGTGGGGTCAAGGAGATGTACCTCGAGGCTCGTTCTCTGCTTCACGAACACAAACAGTCTGTGAAGTTCAATTTTATTATCTTCTTATAGCAGGTATATTGACAAATTAGTAATACAATCACTCTAATTCGGACTTTCGCTGTCGATGTCTTTTTGGGTCAACGTTGAGAAACCGACTGTATTTCTGTCATTTGGCTTTGGTGCTGTGCAGTAAAATGAGTTCAACGGAAACTCAAGAGAATGTTGTGCATTAGCACACAGCTCAATACCTTTCTTTTTTAAGATACACAGACACACAAAGCATGCCTGTAATCATGGTCACACACGCTCTTTCTCCGATAACCTGCACCAGTGCTGTGGTTTTGTAGCACTTGAGCCTCAACAGCCCTCCAGTTAATGCCCATTAGAACCACAGAGGAAGGGACTGATGGTTTATTAACAAAAGCGGGATTTTGCAGAGGTGAAAAGATGGCGGGGAATACAAGATTCTTTTAAGGGAGATGGAGATAAGGGCCAGTAGGTGATGTCGCCTCGCTGTCTGTGTGAAGACGCACCCGGCGCTGGTGCCTGGGCTCTGCTGAGCGCGTGTCAACTCAAAGTCAAACCGGACTGTTGGCTGAACACCCGCCAGCACACGTTGTCCTCAGCAGCTCAATCACACAGCTCCACAAGCACCGGTGTCTCAGAGTGAGACTGTTTCTGTCTGTGTTTGGAAGCACTTTGGATTCATGGGTCAATTTGCCCAGTGTAGCATATCCCTCCTGATTCTTTTAGAGCCGAGTTGATGTTTTATATGGGTTTTTACAGTGGAAACTTCAGTATTACTGCTGTGTGACTAAGCTGGAGCCTTTTTGGGAGGCTTAGAGTTTCAGACTTAACAGGTCAAATGTAGCCTCAGTCGTCTCCTTGTTCTGATATCTCCTTCAACCACAGTAGCAAATCCTGGCTGTCAATACGCTTGAAATCTAATTAAACATAATGTGGAAACTTTCGAGATGATATAAGAAAGAAAGAAGGGTATTCATATTTTTTCATGTCATTTCAAATCCTATGAAAAGATTTGTTGACAATATAAAAATATATAATATATGCTAATTTTGTAAGGTATGAGACATTAATCTCTCAAAATAAACACTTTATATACAGCTGTGATTAATACTAATGGGATTGCCGAGTGTCGTCTTCTTCAGGCAGCAGGCTGTGTGTGCAGCGTTCTGCACACTCACCGGTGTGGCTGGGATGTGTAGCGCAGACGACGAGGGAGGAGTGGAGGGCCAGAGGTGGCAGGTGGCTTCTTGCCACCAGTCTTGTCGTGATGGTTACTGTGATATTTTGGGCCTGAATAATTTACGCCGCAACAACACGTCTCCCCTCGCCACTGTGAAATGTGGCTCCTGGCTGCATGTTTCATTAATGCTGTCGCCTCCAAACCCGTTTCATAATTCAGCAGGCACTAGAAGAGCTGCGATGTGTCGCCACACAGCTCACTGACACCGGGGAGATAGAGAGAGGCCGGATGCAAAGGAGGTGAAAGATGGGGAGATAGTAGTAGGGGGGGGGGGGGGAGGAGTGTAAAAGTGCGAGAAAGACTACAGTTCACTGCCTCTATCTAGTTGTTTCACCACATTGTCCCAATTGGCAGGAAGATCTGGCCCACTTTACTGTGTCACTGGCAGCGGCTGAGCATAGCACCCACCAGGCCTGGAAAAGGCAATACATAATTCACACTTTGTTGTGCCCTCTTATGTGCTAAACACTGCTCATTTCCATTTATGTTGCCCGGGCATCGTAACTGTGCTCCTCTTAAGAACTGGTGTCCAACAAATGTATTCACTTTTAATTGACAATCTCACTTGAATCTGTTTTGACGACAATAGCTTATGTCTCTGAGATGCACTGATACCCTATAAAGCTCAGAGAGCTTTAGTGTGCTCTTGGCGAGTAAAGGTAATTCTGCTTTGGTTAAAATAAACAACTGAAGGCCTGTATATATGTACATAACTGATACTTTCTGGGTATACAATCTCATGCTTTCATTTCAAAAACGCAGTGGAATGTAATTTATAGTGCTTTACCTATCTGGCATATACAAAAAGTTGCCATACTTGTTTGTATGGTGGTTCTCAGAATGATAAATTGGAAGGCCTTAAATATCTGCCACCCTCGATTTTCAGATTTTTCTTGAATAAAACAAAGAGGTGTGTAGTTGAGCATGTAGATTGACATTTTATAGCTCAGCCCAGTGAGCCAACTAAACACCAGGTCTCTGTCAGATGTTGGCTCTGAATTATTCATGAAGGTGCTCATGTCTGTAATTTTTGTGTCTGTAATTTCTGTGTTGAGTGTCTCACACTCACGTAGCTGAAAGCCTTTGCTGAAGGTGCTGAAGATCCGTTTGACTGCACAGCGAGATTCTCTGCATCACACCTACATCCATGCAGTTGGATTTATCAGACCAGTCTTGTGATGTACATGGCTGACTGAGGCAGCAACACCTTGGTTGAACTTGAACGTAGTCTAATGGATGAATGGGTCAAACAGTTTGAACCAACATTTATCAGCACATTTCCTGCATGAGTGTTGATTTGATATGAGGATTAGATTCAGCAAAACAGGTACCTAGTAATTTGAAACATTTCATAATTGGTGTCCTGAACAATTGTGGGCCTTTTGACAAAAAATAATTTCAAGGTCTTATGAATATTTAAAAAAGCCTGTAGTTATTCATTATCCTGTGAACGCCAACAACACATGGTCACACAAGAGAGGTGATAATCATGCTAACAACCATCACTAAAAGAACACTGTAATTCAACACTGTTGAAGAGAATGGTGTCTCAGATGTACCACTTTTATTGTACTTTGTCTTGAGTGGGCTACAACGGCCAAAGACGTATCGAGTGTCAATGTTTCCATCGACAAACGAGAAGCTGCGTCTCATGCATCAAAACTTTGCTGTGGAGGACTGGGAGGCAGTTGCTCGGTCTGGTGAATAAAGACTTTTTTTTTTGTCTCTAATGGAATCTCCCATACAAGTTTTTGTGCACCTGATCCATCAAATTGTGGTGTTGGGGACAACCGCTCTTGCTAAGGCCTCCTGAGGCAAACTGGTGAGGGATCAGACAAAGAGTCATTCAAATACCACTTTACAACTCCTCTATAATAAGAAGCAACCTTGCCTGTATGGTGGAATTGGGATCCCATCTTGTGAGGGGACTCCATATTCTGCTGCCGGACTTCAAGGCGTAGCTAGGTCATGACAAAGAAACCTCATACGGTGATGGGGTGCAGAGGCCTGCCTGATCGCAACCTAAGTGATGCTTTGCTATATGTGCTAGCCAGGGACTGTCTATAACATCCACTTGGTCCCAAAGCACCATAAGACAAAGAATAATACTGTAGTTGTGCGGCAGCATGTCTTCGGTAGAGGGAGTCCCCCGTCCGCAAGTTTTCCAACTCAGTTCTTCACAGATAGTTGATGGTAGAGATTGACATTGACATCAGACTGCCCTCCCCAAAGGGATGAGCTTTTAGTCATACTTTTCTTTAAAATGATAGTCATATCTCTCACATCATAATAATATTCACAATTATCGTTTGGTCTTTCATCCATGGCTGCATTTATAGTACTGGTACAGTCCTGAACAGAAAACAAATAGTTTTAAAAGGTCTTTTCTGCTATCCAATGGTAAAACACTTTTCTGCCATTGATAGAAACTAAACAAAATGAAAACTAATGAAAGCATGATCTTTGTTGCCCTGTTAAATCTAGTTCTGCTGATATGATTATGTTGGCTGCAGGACTGTCGTTACCCTGTTGCATGTCTTTTTATCAGTGAGAGCATTTTTCCTTGGTACTCTTAACGTTGTGGAATCGTCTCCTTTCCAAGTGCAGCCTGGCAGATAATGGCTGTTTTGTTTAGTAGTAGATCTGCCTAAAGTACATAACATGCGTTATTCATCTCCCACTCAAGATTGCACTGGAAAGCTATTGGAGAACAAACAGTTTGCTGAGTTGAAGACGCACGTAAGGGGGGTCCTTGTCGATGTAACACTGCATATTTAGTGAATGTGCAATGTTTTATTGATGCAAACGTCCTGGCTGCACTTTCTTTAGGAGGCACCAACCTGATGAAATCTTCCCCATGCTTCATTTCACCACTATGAGGCAATCCCAATGGCATGCAAGGCATTATCAACACTCTTGTGTTGTGGTACATTTTGCTTTCTGTACGGTGTTTTTGAGGAACACTTGAGTTGTCTGTTCATGCAGGTAAATGGAATAGATGTACTGTTGGGGACAAGACGTCATAGAATGCTCCCCACCTTCCTCCCATCTGGTGGTGCCTTCTGCATCTGGCTTTACCGCTTTACACCATTAGCCTGTTGAAGTTTTCTGCTGACTACAAGAAGAACTTCTACTTGACCCGTATAACACATTTCCAAGCCAGTGGAGCTGCTCTTTCATTGTGAAGCTATGCTTATTCAAGGATATAATCTGCACAGCACAGATATGAGTGGGGCCATAAGATGAGGGCTTTTAGATCAATGTGCCTCTCCTAAGAGCACTGACAATAGTACGAGAACAGTGATTGTATTACAAAGGGGATCCAAACACATCAGCTTTACAGCGAGTACAAGTGAAGAAAAGACCTCCAAGCTGTGCGAGGACATGGGAGCAAACATGGGTAGCTAAATGCTTCCTGTTTTTAGTTTCAAGCTTAATGTTTCAGACATGGAAAGTGTCATAATGTGTTACAAGCATCTGGCAGAACGGATATCCAACCCAGTTGTCTACATAGGCCATGTTACAGCGTACTTCTACACTTCAAAGTCTATTGTCCTGCTCGTAACTACAGATGCAGCCACCTAGAATGTCCCCTCCCTCCGTCATGGGCCCCGGGTCGGTGTGTGACCAGTCCCCGCTGGGACCTTGTCGGGTCTTTGGCTGAAAGGAGATCCTCCGCGATGATGCAGTGAACACGTGGTCGACTCGTAACACCCCTATGGCGCCATTTTTGGAGAGCAGTTACAATGGTTCCACCAGATGGAACAGTGATTATCGAAACTGTGGGCTTAAATCGGCTGTTCTTATAATATGGTTAGGTTTTTGCCCTCTTTTGTCCTCAATGTAAGAAAATCCATATCTCATGTAGTCTGTGTCGTACTTGCATTTCACCATGCTCTATTAGCACATGAAAACACAATGTGTGGGTGTTCTTCTATACCAGGGGTATTCAAGTAAATTTCCAAAAGGTCCAACACAAATAAAGAAAGTACACATCAATTATATTTTAACAATTATTATTCTCAGTTTTCAAATTGAACTGGATGGATTATAAATAATACATAGAAATACATAAATAAATGTTCTTCTCATTTCAAGTAAGATAAGGGCTGGATTAAAGAATAACTGACATAACAGAAAGCTTTTGAAAAATGTGCATCTTAAAATAAAGTAATTCATTTTAGAAAAATTAATTTCACTGAATTGTCCTGCAGCTTTAAATTCAGTTCATTCAGGGTGAAGTGAAAAAGCCACAATATTATTTTTCTCATCTTCTAAAAAGAGAAATGTGTGTGCAGGGACTGTACCTGTGGTTATTAAACCACTTGTTTCAGCTCTATTCCTCTCTGTTAACATCATTGTTGAACAGTGTGAATTAATGTGTTATGATTCTGATCATATTGGGCTCTTGGGTTTATTTTCTGTGTCGTCATTTCAGATGTGAGTGGGTATGTTTGCTCCATATGAGACATACAGTTTTTAGCTGTTCGTGGGAAGAATTCGCCTATAAGAGTGTGTCCAGTCAGAGTCTAATGTCTCTGGTCATTTTTCTCTTTTAGAGACCGTCCTGTGATTTTACTTTCACAAATCACATTATGATTGTCCTGCTCTGCTATCTCTTTCCTCGTCTCCCCCCGTGTGTCACGGTGTGTGAACATCTCACTCGAGTCAGGAAACTTGTCAGAATGCCCATATTTGATTGGCTGAGCTGCATCACTTGATGTGATTCACAACGCATTGGTCGGTGTTTTTCCTGCACTGCTGAACAAGTGCCGTAAATGCTGGAATATTTTTTTTAATTTTTGTCAGGCAAAGGCCCGCGGCAACCCACCAGTTGAGAATCACTGCTCTAAACCACAAGATGACTCCTTAGCTATAGTATCGTCTAAAAGAGTCTAGAAAAGAGATGCTGCTCTCATGATTCAGATTCAATGTGATCAATTTCCACTTTTTCAACAAAACCTGAGTAAGCAATTTTATTTACACGATACCCCCTGTGATTTGATCAGATGCTGGACAAGCTGCGAGACCGATGGACCAACACTGGTCTCTGGAAGAAGCTAGAACGACACAAAGCCGTGATCCCAGAGCCCCGCGGGGGTGGCGGCAAGGGGGATTTTGACGAACTGCTTCAGAAGTACTACGATGCCATCAAGTACTGTGAGGAAGACAGAGGTGAGACTTGTTACTGTCACAATGACCTTTGGACCAGCTTTTTGCTGTATCACTCTGTATAGGGGCTGCCTATTCATTTTTTGCGGGATTACATTCAGTTGACCAAGTCTAGTGTTCGCACAGTGAGTCCAGCAATGAGAACAGTAAGTGGTGCTACTTCATCTGAACTTACGTTGTCATTTGTACAGCTGCACCACTGCCGACATCATCATTTACAATGGAATAGTTAGTACTTGTTCAGAGTCCCACTTTATATGACATATTTACAGTGTTGACACATACTGTATGTGATTTATTTGATATAGATGGTGCACTGCTGATTGCTATCTGTAGGGGTAAAGTGAGTGAAGGACTAGACTTCACTGATGACAACGCCAGGGCAGTGATCACCATTGGAATTCCCTTCCCAAACATCAAAGACCTCCAAGTAAGTAGACTTAAAATAGCCCTGCTCGATTATGGCAAAAATGTTAATCACGATTTCTTGATCAATATTGAGATCATGATTATTCAACATGTTTGTTTATTCACTGCATTTGGAAACATGCATATTGGTGCATTTTAAAGTTAAATGCATCAATCTGGTGCACTTTGAGAGCAAAGTTTACAGGCTAGATCTATGAAGAACTTTGTGCTCTACAAGGCTAGGCATTTAAATCTGAAACGCATTGGTTGTATTGTTAAGAGTTGTGATGACACAGCAAAAAAGCCGCACTCACGAAGCATGATTGTTGGAAGCCAAAATCGTAATTGAAAGTATAGTTTGATTAGTTGTCCAGCCCTAACTCACAACAGCGTGCAGATATTCTGCAGGGGGAGAAACGGGTGAGACCACGAGCCTTGCTTTAACCAAAGGTAGAAATATATCACCCTACTCTTCCTGGCTTACAAGAATGGGACTAAATATCCATATGGTATTGGGCAACCTTTAGAGTCATACATGGGTGCTGTAACACTTGATGCAGCAAAGTTGTGTCTGACATGACCAAATGTTACACACTCTGTCAGCGTATTCAATTCCATTTCAAAGAGGTCCAGTTACTAGAATTTCCTCCCAGCAAATGCCTGAACCTCATGTGTAAATTGCGTCCTATAGCCTTCCCCATCAAATCAAATCAATAAAATCATTGAACATTTCCATAACATTGCAACAATATGTATTGTTCATTTTGAAGCTGGTACCATGATGACATTACTGTCTCTCTCTGTGTCTGGAAGATATCCACCTATTATTTTTATATTTTTTGGCCAAGATCCAACATTTTAAATACCATGAACACAAAAATATACCTCTCAGACACACACCAAATAAGAGCATCTCCTTTTGGTGATCCGTGAAATAAAATCCCAAAGCGATGTGGTGTGTGTGCCCCGTCCTTAGCAGATAAAGATGACCTTTAAGTTTAACTCTCCCCCCCCCCCCCGCCCACCTCTCCTCCCCTTTACTCCTCACAGCCCCCCTGTCAGAGCACGAAGGAGCTTTCACTAACCTGTTCTGTCAGTGTGGCACGATGTGTGGGTGATTGAAGCTTCCCAGACCCTTTCACCAAAGCTGTCAGCTCCCAGGCCATTGCTTGTTCTTTTTGATCAGATTCAGTTTTTTGATTAGCGATATTGTGTTTGCACTGGTGTCTCAGTTCATGTTCATGGTCTAAAGCATCCCTCAAAGAAGGTCATATTGGAGTTTTACCTTGTGTTTTTGTTATTAAGCCATGGTGGCACTAGATGAAAGACTATTTTTACACTTACAGGGATTTACGCTACCATGGAACGCTTAAGCTCCTCACTAATACCCAGTATGTAGTAAAAAACTCCCAATCTATAATGTATGTACACTTGGATTTAAAAAATGTTTCAACCCCCAACAACCAAAATATATACCACTATATACAGTCCACTTAGCAATGGTGATTCTAATAGAATCCAACGGGTGACAATAGGAGGTTAAGACAACAAATCCTATGGAGATATACAACCTTAAGACAGAAGTAGACTCTATTAGGGCTAAGTTTCAAAACTCAATGCGTGTATGGTATTGACCTTAATGTGACTTTGCACAAAGTGTCTTTAATCAGATACCAACTCATTTTAAGGATAAGTCTGGGGATGTTTAATATTTTTCAACAAGTCCCATAGTAACACTGAGTGTGTTTGTATCACTAATATATCTTCTGTGCTAAAACACTATTAAAAACACAGCAGCACTGTTGCACTTGGTGACCTTTCATTACCATGAACTAGTGTTCATTTTGTTAGCTAGTTTTGATTTTGTCTAATGCTGCGTTCACACCAAACACGAAACAAATTCTGGCGTTGCGTTACTCGCAGGATCATTTGTGTTTATTTGCATCATTCGCTTCATTCGTGCTAGACATGCCGGAGAGGAGGAGTGGCTTATTTCAATGGAAGCCGTTATCAACTAAGCCATTTATTTCAACCATTGAAGAAATACCCCCTACTTCTGCTTAGTACTTGTTGTGGAAGTCCCAGATATCCCGGGAAACTAAACGCCTTCTTGTCTGGGTTCATAACATCATCTGGAGGAGCTGCGTGTATTTCATCGAGCTGTATTCACTGTCTAGCAAGCCACACGTTGGCTGTTTTGCTACAGCTGTATCAACACAAAATAAACTGTTTTGCTGTGATTTAATTGCAATAATCGGACAAAAGGCATTGTTGAAATAACTACATAATGATGTTTATTTGTAAAAAGTCTGAATTGAAAGGGGGGACTTTTATTGTCATACATATGTGAGGATACAATACGTTCGTATGGCATCTTACGATAAAGCGAATGTGTCTGTAGTATTACTGCCAGGTGGCAACCTCTGGTTCTGACAAGTGTCTTAAACTTGCATTCTCTCTAGTGTCCATAAGGGGGCGACTCCTCTGGTTGTATAGAAGTCTATGAGAAAATAACTCTACTTCTCACTAGATTTATTCCCTCAATAAACATTGTAAACATGAGTTTATGATCTTATTTGCTTGTTTCCTTTTCAATACAGCATGATGTTCATTTAGTAAATTATGGTCCAAAAACCGGAGTATGCTTTAGGGCGGGCTTACTGTGATTGACAGGTTGCTGCCGCTACCAGAGCCGAATGCATCATCTCTGCATCACTCCTCTGCAATTCCAAATATGTTAATTTTCGTTAACCGGTTGCAAAAAGCCAAGATGGCAACAGCCGTAATCCAAGATGGCGACAGCCTAATGGCCAAACTCGAGGCTTCAAAATGGCAGTTGACAAACCAATGGGTGCCATCACGATGACTACGTGGATATACGTATACTTATTTTGACGATTTATGGTCTATGTCTAAGTCTATGGTTACTGCTCATAATTTTAATAACATACACATAGTATATCATGCTTCAAAGCTACTACTACTCCTGATTCTGTTGTAATGCAAATGTTTAAATGGTGTGGATTTAATTAGTTTGTGGAGCCTGATGAAGAGACACCGAACAGCAGAGACCAAATTATGCACATGAAAAAATGACACTGAGGTTTTGGTGACATCGTTTTATTTTTTAAAGTACATTTTAGTCTCATCTTCTTCATAGTTTTCGTTGTTGTAATTAACACAATGTCGAGATTAACGATATTGGATTCATGCCGATATCTCAAATGCCGATATTTTCCAACACATTTGGAAGATTGACGATTCCAATATGAAAGACAGAAACAAAATGTACTCTGTGTACACACAAAACCCACACCCAATCCTGTTGGCCCAAATACTTTGTAGAGCACTAAATGTGCATAATCTATAAAATAGTTCCCAACAAATGCACTGTTTACTCCTACTTGAGTAACGTTTGCTATAAACTACAGATACCAGCTGTTTTAGGAAATGACTGAGCTGATATGGTTATCGAGTAGACGTACTAAGACATTGTTAGTTTTGTGTTTTTAGTTAGCATTCTTGTTTTGATATTGGCATCAGCACACAGGAATCGTACCCTTTTAGTATTGAGACGTTTCCAAAAATAACAACTCTTATGATCAAAAAGACTAAGACTGTCATGCGTTGATGCAGCAGTTTAATGTCTTAGATATTAAATTGTATGTATGTTTTATTTATCCGGTTGACAAAATAACAGAAAAAACAGAAAAAGAAGGCAGTAAATACACGTATGACAAATAGCCCTGCTCCTTTTTAATCAAAAATCTAAAATCAATATACAGTATCATGAAACTGATGTTTCTGTGTAATTCAGCTGAATCAAGCTTGTTCAATAATGTGATTGTTGAATAAAACAGGAGATACATGGATGGAGCAGAACACCAGGAGGAGGATTGAAGAAGCCAAAGCGTGTTAGGGCTAAAGGGGGAGCTGACCAAGTGTGAAGAGACAGTGCATTTCTAATGACATATTCTGTTCTCCACATGAGCAGCCGTTGTTTATTTGCTACATGTGCTCAGCCCTCAGAGAGCGCCTCATCTCCTGCCACATCTTGAACACCACTGTTGGAGAGGTGCTGACCACGGTGAAGATGTAAAGGAAAAATAGTTGCTCAAAAGATATTCAATAATCCAATCAAACTCTACACATTGTGAGAGGAGCATATAACTGCCTCACTCTTTAGGGGGTGTATCAAAAAAGCCTCTCATTTCAATACAACCAAATCAAAATTCTAGAAACAATCCCTTTCTCTATGCCTTTTCGTCAATAAAACAAAAAGTATACTAATAGTGCAGGGAGGAGGAGTGAGCATCAAAAATACCAGGTCAAGGGTTAAGTGTGGACACGCATGTAGACACAGCTGAGAGCCAGTCACAACATTTGCATTGAAAAGCGTAACCACAGAGCAAAAGGCTTCCATTTTAATTATGCAGTGTTGCTGAGATTTCTTCCTGTATCTATATGGGTCTGCATCTTATGAGCAGAATTGACGACTGTTGTCTACGTCTTATGATGTTGACTCCTGTCAAGCAACAGCTAGAGAAAATATCAGTCCTCAAGTTTGTAAAGCTTGTGATGAGATTTGCCTCATCTTGCCTTTATTTCACATTTGTCTCTGTCTCTTCTTTGCGTCATAATCCTTGGCTTCGCTTGCTCCTCTTTCTTCTCCTCTCTAGTTTTCTCTTCCTCCCCCAGTTATCTCCTCTTTCAGTATCGGAGGCGGTGTGGCCTCCAGAGAAACCCTTGGGGGCTGTGAAGGTCTTTGAGCTAACCCCATTACACTGCTGGGGATGGAGACACTGACACTAATGACTGTCAAAGCTATGCAGCTAGCCTGTTAAAGGAGCACATACTGTATACTGATGCAGCACTCTGTCACAGAGGAGCAGGTCTTTAAGGGACCACACACATCCATAGGCACTGGCGCATGTAATGGCGTAGTCACTATTGGATAGTCGATACTATTACATGGAATGGTCTATTCCACTAGAAGAGGCATTCAGGAATCAGTGTACTCTG